CTGCCTCCTAGACCAGCCAGAGTTTTTTTTTCATTAGCTTATGTTATTTCGTGTTTGTTTATTTAGCATCTAAAAACATTACCGACAATAGCTACGTGGACTGAAATGGCTAGCTCTGGCTTATTAGCCGTCATCAACCGTCTGTTGCTTAGAAGTCCAATGCTATAAGAATTTACCTAGGGATTCGTTGTCTCGTCGTTTGTGGTTAGGCATATTAACAATGTTAGATTGAAAAGTCAATTCGGCAAACCTATGTTTTCAGCAATTATTCATTGGGCCTATACAATTGCAAAGGCGATTGAATTATGAGAGGTGGATAGGGTTTATAAATGTCGAATGGCTAATACTCATCGATTTAACACAGCATTGGGAATGGGGGTGGAGGAGGAAAGTAGGTAATGTTGTGATTTCTGCTAATAGGTCGAGTACACGGAATGAACATCACTGACGTAACCAACTGTTATCGAGGGCTGAGGACGAAATGCGATCACCATGGAGGAGAAGACGCCTGTATTAGCGTCTTCTGACAGCACAGCACTAGAATCATTAGTGGCTTATCCGTTATCCCGGCTGTTACTAGCACCAGTTGACGTCGACCCTTAGATTGGCCGGTAATAATAACCACGGGATGGCCATTGGCGGGGCTCTAGAGTGGGCCTCGAGACAAAGCCGCATCAATCTACCGTCAACTACCAGCTATTTGACTAAGATTCACCACAATTATCCCTTTAAAATGTATATATTTGGCAGTAGTGTGCTCTTCTTGGTATCCTGTAAATAGCAAGAGGTTGGCTACATCAACTGACGTCTTTTAAGCGGTTTTTACTCACCGAAGTCAATTGGCCTTTGAAAAGTCTTCATCTAAAGTAGCGCACTTAGTCCGCATCGATGACCCAGATGCTGTAAGAGTGCCTTCACCCGCGCGCATGACACCTGTTCTGTCTGTTATCTCGCATTCTGTCCTAAGACCATAAGATGGTAGCCTAAAAATGACCATTTGGCTTAATCCGTCTGCAGTTTGCCTTCTTCAGGCACTTCTTTTTCATGCCATCTGGTACACCGAATTAGGCTTATTCAACCCCAATGTCCAAGCTCCGCTTTCTGAATTTTCGCAGGTATGAGTTACATTCCCTGATAGCATTTGGGAGTATATGATACTTGATGAAAGCATACCCTCTCAGTTCTCCTCCCCCTCCACCGTCTCGTCCTGTTTACTATTTGTTTCGTCTTTTATAGGGAGTTATACAGTTTGTGGGGGAAGAAAGACCCTGTTCTCTGCAGTGTGTCAACGAACTCTATGATATCTTCAGCCTTTCTTCAGCAGCCGCTGCAAAGCTTGGACCAGTCGGGGTTCGCCTCATTTTCATTGGTACGTCAGTATTGCAGAGCGAAGTTACATTCTTATTTCAAAATAGACAAAATTGTACATATAAAAGGCTATTAAAAACCCTCGGAGCCTCCATTTGTCATTGCTGGAACTGGAATCGCCATTTCTGGTTTATTAGCCGTCATCAGCCAGCCACTCTCGGCTGGTGCGCCAGCTGGGCTGGCTGATGATGACGAATAAACCAGAAATGGCCATTCCAGTCCCCCTTTTCCTTGTTGCCAATGTTCGTCTGCCAGCATATTCGACTAGCTTCTCCTTGCCTTGCTGAACATTCTGCCTCTGTGGGTCCTAATTTTGATAGGTATTCATATCTTGCGACGCTTACTAGCGTCCAGGCCTTAATCGATCTCTGGGTATATTGACACAAAGCATAAAGAACAGCTCGCCTTTTTCTTTTGCGTTGAATTAAAAATTTATTACTTGGGGGAAACAGGCGGCTGTGATTACTTCCGATTTTTTAAATTACGTGTTTTGAAGGCTTTTTTCGTACATACTTAACTATTTTTTCGTTTCCATAAAGTGGAATCTTTGCCATTCACACTTAGGCAAGCGTCTCAGCTGTTTGATCCGTCTTCGTACATATCGATCCGATCGATTTGCTCGAAACCTCATTTATTTTCCTTAATTGTGTGTTTTCTGTTTAAGATATTCCTATTTAATTAACTGGGGGCGTCTTTCTAATTATACTTGCATTAAGTTCTCAAAAAATTTTAATTACTGTATGCTGTAGAGATAATTCAAAAGGCCGTATACCCACCAGATGTACCGGTATCTTCTTTCTCTGTAGTGATAGGTAGGCCGATGTACATATCGATTCGGATACTTTAGCAAGAACATTTAGTCCCAAGTGACCTGGTTTGGTTGTTTTCATGGGAGTATGTTGTTGGTGTATTTCACAATTTTTCACCTTTTATTTCAGGTCGGAACCTTGAGCGCGATTTAATTCGGAAGAAACTTGAAGAATGCCAGCCCTTGTAAATAACTAACATTCTTGGCTTTTTGCGCATTTTGTATCCATGGTACCTACCTCGCGTGTTTGCCTGTTTTCCCCTCTGCGAACAACTCGTTTTGTGTCCACAATTCTACTGTGTCACACTATTTTTTTAAAGACACTTCTCTCTTGGAGTACTGCTCTGCTTTTATTGCGCGCCGTCAGTATACCCGCCCGTTGTCGAGAGATTGCTGTTTTGTTAAGTGAAATGTTTACCACGAACGAAGAAATTTCGGTTTGATTTAAACAAATTTACAGTCTTGGATTTGGATTGTCGGTCAGCATATATGTAGATTTTAGCTTCGGTCGTAAGTGTTTAGGGTGTTTTTTCCTGTAGTCTCTTCTACGCCTTTACGACCCAAGTCACACCTCGAAAGCCGGCGACTAAGGTTTCAGTCAAGTTCTCCTTCTATCGTCCTCTAAAAAAGTCGTAACGAGTCTTCTAGTGTATTGAGAACAATTCGCTAAGGTCCACCGCGATGGGAGTGGGTTGTGCTTCCATTTATCGAATATTCCTCGATCTCACCCCTCCTCTTGATTGACTATGATTGGCTGATTGCGGTAAATAGGCCACAATTTTGCCATTCACGGCCACACTTGTCCGCAATGCTTGCCGTATATAGTGGCCCATGCTGCGTCGGCTGGGGTGTGGTGTGTTCATGTGGCCCTTAGGCAGCCGTGAATATCTAGACGCGCGAGTTGAAGTCGGTCAGGGTTGTACAGGTCAATGATTCGGAACCGGCTGCCTGCGAAGTTGCATGACGATGAAGCAGTAGAAATTGAAAGTGGAACCTGGACAGCAATGTTGGCTGTCCGCCACAATTCCTTGTGGCCATGCAACGGCTCGCAAGAGCTCCAGACTGGAGCTACCTAAACCAAACTGATGATGGATTCGAGTGAGAATCCGAAACTTCAGATCAACGAACTTCTCGTTTCAGTGATGGAATATTCTTCTGAATAAAGTAGAACGTTAATAGGACGTCCTCAGCTATCGCAGCAGTGTTTCCCTTTGACGGCGGATGTTTCCCTTTTCAAATGTTAAGGGTTAAAATCAATGCCTAGGTGGACCTTCAGATTTCAGGTCTCCCTCAGCTTGACTGGAGGCACGGTAAACAGTCCACTCTCGTTTCTTATCATTAGGTGTGAGGTAACCGCCATGAGTAACGCTATAGATGAGTTGAGCCAAAAAACGGTAGAAGAGGGCTGTAATTGCTGCCACACGTTGGCGGTATTGTGT